AAGACCTGGGTTTGGATTCAGACCAACCCGGGTGCCGGTTCTGGTCTCACATTTGCTGGTTGCTTCTCCGAGCCTCGATTTGTTTGTCTGTAAAATGGGCACAGTCTGTGGCAAAGGTATCATGAGCTAGTGCATGCAGAGGGTTTAATACAGTGCCTGACAAGAGTAAAAATCAGTAAGTAACTCTCTTGTCCTTCCATCATCATCATCATCGTCACTCCTAAAGCAGTAGAAGAGGCGGGTGGCCAGTGGCCTTAACATTTACAAAATTCCCACTATATGGAAAGTTCTTTCCCCTGGGAAGATGGGGGTCCGTGTCCTCCCCACCCCCAAGCCTAACGGGTTCCCTGTTCTCCTGAGACCCTCCAGTGGGGGCGGGGAGGTGCCTGCCTGACAGGAGGTGCACACTGGTGACAAGCCCACCTTCTCCTCACCTCCACTGCCTCTTCCTGCCTGTCCTCCCGTGATCACCTCAGTGGGATGAGCTGAATTTGTCCTGCCCGCTCAAGGTTGGGTGGTTTGGGTGCCTTTCCCCAGACAGCCTTGTTTTTTGCATTTTTCCTAGCTGAACCTCACTTTTCTATGGGCAGCCTATTTTTTGGATGTCTTAGAAAAAATAGACATGTCAGCTATTTCTCACATTTAGGCTCCTCTGCCCCTTCATTGCAATGCTGTGTATTCCACTGCTAAGTTCATTTCTGGGGTGGGGGCGAGGCACTAAGTAACCACGGGCCTCATTCCAAGTCCCAAATCATTTCCTAGGAGCTGCTATTTCATGTGTTTTTTTTAGCTTGAAGCCTTAGGCCTGGGGAGGTGGGCGGGGGGGGGGGGGGCAGCTGCTGCCATGGGGCGGGGAGTGGGAACAGAGAAAAGTCAGGTTCTTTCCAGCTCTGGCCCCCCACGGCTCCATCACCACTGCCCACAGCGAGCAGGTACTCGGCACCTTCCAAAGTCAGGCGCTTGTCAAGGGCTGGGAATGCTGTGCCGTGAGTTCTAGGGAGAACAGGTGCCTAGAAAGAAAGACCACGTATGATGGATGCCCGATTCAAGGGTGGTTCTTCTCTCTCTCTCTTTTTTTTTCCTCCCCGCCTCTTTTAGGTCTCAGCAGCCTTAAGCTCCACAGATGTCCAGGTGGCACATCTTTAGGTGAAGTGACCAGCCAACAAGGTGGGCTTCATAATTTATAGGGCCCAGTGCAAAATAAAAATTTGGCCATGACCAGGGTGGGGAAATCAGTCTCCCCTCCCTGTGGGCCTGCAGCTGCAACCCATGGTGGACAGGTGACCCCCCAAGAGATTGGCACCCTCAGTACACAGATCAGGGGTGGCCAAGAGCCCCCCCCCCCCGAGCCACCAGCACCTGAGCCACCCTTCTGCCAGCCCCGGGCGGGGAGGCCTGCCACCAGGCCCCTCCCCGGAATGCTGCAGGGCATGCACCCAACCTTACCCTCCCTGCACCTGTGCCTGGGCCCCACCGACAGGACCCTTTTCACCATCTGGGGAATAGGAGGACAGTGGGAGGTGGGCAGGATGAGGGAGACCCTGCAGCGGGGCCAGCCACGAGGGGGTGGGGAGCAAGTGTGGGATACCCCTCCTGGGGAGGTGGTAGGAGGCAGGACCACAAGGGAGCTGAGGTCCCAAGCACTTGGTACGTCCTCCATGGCCCTATCCAATTTCACTTACAAAACACAAGTTCAAAGATAATAAGAATTGAAACAATAACCGCAGAGCATTAAGCCCAAGTGGGAAGCCCTTCGGACCATGAAGCCTGCAGTCACACAGGACCCTAACCTCCACAGGGTCCTGCCTGACTGCAGATTCCCAGGAGAGAAGACCATTGGCTCAGTTTGGGGCCTGGGTCAGGGGTGGGGTTGGAACCAGGCCAGTTGGCTAAGCCGATGGTGCAGGCTGGGGGCAAGGCTTTTGAGCTTGCACAGTGGGGCAGAGGTCCATTAAGTGGATGACAGGTGCTTCTCCGGGGGCGGGGGCTGTGGGCTAGGCTGGCCCCAAAGGTCCTTCTTCTGTGCACACGTGCCAAATAAAATCTAGAGACTCATATCCTGGAAAAGGAGTCCACCCAAATACCATCAAAACTGAGTGTGACCAGTGGATTTTGACCACAGGGCTGGGGAGATGGCAGCATGGCTAGATGCTCCCTCCAATCCCTTCCCTGAGCCCAAGTTTTTGTCGCTCTTATTTGGTCTAAGTTAAGGATTGCCATGCTGTGTATCATAAGAATTTTAAAAAGAATATTTTCTTTTCCATTTCTCTCTAGTCCACAAGTCATTTATTTTTCTTGAAAAGAAAAAAATGTTTTGTTTTTTCCAAATGTCTCCTTGAAGGGGGAAGATCTAGGAGAGAGAAGGAAGTAGAGTCCGGGCCATCTCTTAAAGTTTATCCTTTAAGATCCAGACAAAGTGATTTTTACCGAGTGAAGAAATGTCAACAAATTTAGGGACGCTGTTTTTCCCCTTCTCCTCTCTCATACACATTCTGTCTCTTAGCTTGATTTCTTAAAAGTTCAAAATGGTCTTTAGCACCAAAGAGGCAACATACACACTCAGCAAATGTTTATTAGCATCTGCCGTGTTTGGGGCACTGTTCTTAGAGCCGTGGGCACTAAACTAAGAAATGGTCCTTAACCCCTAAGGACCTAACACATAGGATATAGGGTTTGAATTCATTTCTTTGATCAGCTGAGAATCTGACCTGGATCCTAGCACATGCAGACCCAGTGTATTTTCTCTCTCCATCTCCCAGTACTTCTGGTTCTCCCCCAGCCCCGCCACTGAAAGTATAGATAACTGCAGTGATGGAACACACTCAGGAAAGTTGCATTAAGAGGGAGCTTTTGGAGAGTCGTGAAGCCGTTTTGGAAGAAGCCTGGGACACCCGTGCTGGTATTAGAGGTGGTGACGGAGAGTCATGGCATCAGGATCCCTCCCACAGAGCGCCCGGGGATGTGCTGAGAACCTCACCCGGGTTGGGGGGGAGGGCAGGGACCCACGCAGGGACCTAAGGCCACAGTTGCTCAGAAACATGCGGATAGAGCGATTGCCACCTGGGAGCACCTCTGTAATCTTTCCCGTCGGGCTCAGCTGCTGCAAAGCCTTGCTTCTGAGAGTCTAAATTGGGTGCCATGCTCGTTTCTTGCTTTCTGACCCAGAAGCTGCTGGGATTCGTTTGCTAGGCTGGAAGGGAGAGGATGCAGTTGGGGTTTCACCTTAATTACCTGTTTGTTCCGGTTCTTTGTAAAGGAATTGATTTTTTTCTTCCTTTAACAGAGTTGGTGTTCTCCCATGAGATGTCACTCTAACTTGGATTTGGGGTTCCATCTTGAAACTAAACAGTGGCCGACTACTTTTCGAAGTTAGGTCATATCTTGTGAGGGTTGTTTTTTAAAGGTTTTATTTATTTATTTGCGAGAGAGAAAGCATGAGCAGGAGGAAAGGGTAGAGGGGAGAAGCAGACTCCCCGCTGAGCAGGGAGCCCGATGTGGGGCTCGATCCCAGGACACTGGGATCATGACCTGAGCCGAAGGCAGACGCTTAACGACTGAGCCACCCAGGCGCCCATATCTTGTGAGTTTTAATAGGTTCTGTGGAATTTGGTTCATCTGTATGAGTCACAGGAACGTGGTAGTTCCTTTGTTAAAATATTTTAATATATTTGATGTAGGCTCATTTGTTACAGACTCTCTCTACCTCCCACTCCTTTTGTGAACAGACGAGAGAGCAGCTATGATCATCACTGCCCATCGCCGCTGAGTACGGACATAAAATACCGTGTGTGTGTGTGTGTGTGTGTGTGTGTGTGTGTGTGTGTGTTTACGATGACTGATTCTTACACGAACTTTATGATATTGCTGGTATGGTCCATTTTACAGATGAGGAACTCAGGAATCAGGGAAAGTAAGGCCAAGATCACACAGCTAGAATGTGGCCGAGCTGGGACTTGAACCCCTCTGATATCCAAGTTTTTTCCACTCTGCTGTGCATGCTCTTATCATCGTTGCAACAGGGTTGTAGGGTTTTGTAAAGGAGAGTGCTAAGAAATGCATTAGGTTTTTTGTGTAGGATACATATCCCCATGGGCCCCCTACCCCATAAGCATAGGCCTTTGATAATCTGATATTGTGAGGTGAGGTGGAGGGGCATCAGCACATCCTTGCTCTTGGAGTTTCCGTGACCTGTGGAGAGGCTGCTCGACTTCTTACGGGACCCGCTGTAGCCCTTCAAGGGAAGGAAGGGGTGTGGGTGGGAAGACTTGCTGGGAGGCAGCAAAGCGGAGAGGAGAGAACATGGCTTCTGGCTGCAGGAAGACCTGCTCTGTCTCCCGTAGGCCGTGTCTTCCCTGACCATCAGTCAAGTAAGGGTAGTGGCACCAACTGGACGGGACTATCGGGAGGGTTGGAATTAGGTGAAATGAAGGATATAAAGCCTCCGACACACACAGAACACTCAACAGTTGTTAGGTGCAGTTGCAAAAGGACTTAACCTTTTTCTCTCTTTCCACAACTTTCCACACACACGCTCACTGGTGGACACATACCCATGGCTGCTTCAAGTTTTGCACATAGTCTCTTGCATGTTAGCATGAGAAACCCTAAATTTATCTTTTTTAAAAAAATATTACTTCTGCCTAATTTCCCATTACCTCAGTGCTCCCTCTTCTGAGTTTAGATTAAGGGCTTGAAGGACACTGGGTGTCAACCCTAGGCTTGCCGTAGGAGCCAGCCAAGAGTGAGGCATGCCTCCTTCCTGCTTGAAGGGATGGGATGGCAGTTGGGTTTGGCTCTTGTCTCCCTCTTTGGCTGTGGGATGTCTCGCTGACTTCTCCCGAAGCCTGATCCTCCAAGAGGAAAAAAGTCTCCTCAGACTTGGAGGCATGACTAGCCTACAAGTGCCTAGAACCCCACGCCCTGAGCCGTGGGAAGTGGAAGAAGGTTTTGTCACTCTCCAGAGTAGCCCAACCCTTGTGTTCTTTGTTCTCTCTTGACAGAACCAGCTTCTTGCAAAAGGCCTGTTGTTTGTGGAGGAGAAGATTAAGCTGTGTGAAGGCAAGTACAAGGCAGCGCTCGTACAGCGGGCTCTGTGACTCAGCCCCTGATGTTTGGACAGCTGAAACGCTTCTGTCCAAAAGTGGCGGGCTCCCAGGGAGTGATTCACCCCTCCCGTTTCTTCTCCAGCTAGGCGGCAGCACTTCCCTTGGAGTCGGCCACTCCTGGCGGTGCGTGTCAGATCTGTATTTTGAGAAGCCAGGTGGAATTGGGGTGGTCTTCTCAGAGACCTTGTTGAAGGTCCTCGCAGGATGCATGCTGGTGGTCCCCTGTGAAGGGGTCAGTTACACTACAGGTCCTGTCATGCCGTTCTCTCTGGTCCGATCCAGGCTCTTCTTAATCGACCTTTTTCATATTTCTTGAGGTCCTGTATGACAGGAGGCCTCGACCCATTTGGGGGACATTATACTAAGCGGGCACCTGCTGAATGAGATATGATTTGATCGGCAAAGGAAGATTTCCTGACCTTAAAATGTTTTAGAGCCCACGGGACAGGATGGAAAGGCACCGAATGGAGATGGGAGGTGGGACCACGGCAAGAATTGGCCAACCCCATGACTCTACCAAGGGCTGCTCTCAGCTGCCACCAAGGTAGACCCTGATCTTAGCTTAACACCTATTGCTTGGGTGACTTTCGGCAAGTTTCTAGTTTCTTGGGTTTTTTTTTTTTTTATCATTTTTTAAATGATACGAGTTTAAAAGGGAGTACAGGGAGCGTAATCGGCATAGCACCATTATCTGCCACGCGGTAGTTCCACAGACTGATTCCTTCTTTTTTTTTTTTCCTACTCTAGCCTAGAAACTTCTACCTGGAGGTCAAATTTACTACCACAGTTTACTACTAGACACAGACGTAGCAGGCAGGAGAGCATGCCTTCCAACCCCCCACCCCCTTCCCTGGGAGAGACACTCTTGGCCAGTGTAGTATAAAGACGAAATAGGAGACAGATGAGAACTGGTGCTGGAACGGTCCAGTACCTGGCGCACAGTAAGAGCTTGGCAGACCTTTGGAGGAACAGAGGCTAGAAACTAACTTCTGTATGTCTGAGAGCTGACTGAGCCTGTAACCTTGTTTTCCCTCAATACAACTCTATTCAGGCTTTTTCAACCTTATAAATGCCCCCTAGCCTAAGGCCTTATTTATTTTTATTTTTCTGAGAGCGAGCGCACATGCGTGCATGCAAGCAGGAAGGAGGGGCAGAGGGAGAGGGAGAGAGAACCCTAAGCAGGCTCCATGCCCAGTGCCAAGCCTGATGCGGGGCTCAATCTCACAACCCCGAGATCCTGACCTGAGCTGAAATCAAGAGTCAGACGCTAAACCCACGGAGCCACCCAGGCGCCCTCCAGGGCCTTATTTTTGAGGGAACTGGCTTTGGCAAGAAGTTTGTGCCGCTTTTGCATGTTGGGGTCAGGCTAGTACCCAAGCGTGGAAGGTGACAGCCTCCGAAAGGGAGGGAAGAGAAGCACGGTCTGTGACCAATGGTATTTGCCTGCAAGTCATCTGGGGAGTTATCACAAACTCCTGGAAACATGGAAAACCAGCTTCATGAAAAAGATACTGAGCAAAACCAGAGATTTAAGTGCTTTCAAGGGAAGGTTCAGTGCCTCTCATTCGAGTGACCCTCGACATAAATATATCTGGAGTGAAAGCTCAGGAATGGAGCTCCGGTAACCCAGGCAAACGAAGGTCCTCCGAGGTTCTGTGCTCAGCCCCCAAAGTGTGCTACGGGGCACCGGACCAGGTGTTCTCCCTGGGGTCCACTCTCGTCCTGGTGTCTGAGCGGCCCTTCTGCTCAGCAAAGGGGCCCCTGGAAAACCTGTAAGGGCCTTTCCTGTCTTCCAAACGTCCCCACTTTTTATGTTATGTACTACAGCTCCAAGAGAGATTTTATTGGGCTAAAAGGATCACCTTGCTCTAAAACATAGTTCGGGAACCACGGACAGAATCCATCCTTTCACCGGAAGGACCTCAGTGTTTATGCATGGGCACCCCGCCTCCCGGCCGCAGACCCAGCCCCCGCAGCTCTTACCCAGGTGCTGCTCTTCTGCGGGCAGGATCTGTCATGATAATTCCAGTAATGTTTCCCAGAGCTTTAGCAACCTTGACCCTGAGGAGCTTCTTATTCCCCTTCTATAGACATGCGGCGATCTAAACTCCTGTGGGACATTAAGAGGACAATTTCTGTAGGGTGTTCATCTAGACCCTTCCATCCAGCCGCCCTTCATCTTGGCAGGGAGCGAAGTCCTCTGGGCTGTTTTCTGAAGGTGAAGTCCCGTCCCTGTAACTCTCTCTTCCCCAAGGCTCCCCTGTTTTGTTAGCCTGTGTCTGTCTGATGTTCTCCTCTGAAAGCTTTCCAAAACGTCCATTACTCTGTGAAGTGTGAAGCCAGCAATTAGACGCAGGTTCCCAGGAGAGTTGCCTTCCTGCTGCCGGGTCGAAGGATTACCTCCTGTGCCGACGAGCGTTCCGTTGGCGGTGGAGGGGAATAAGTAGGCACCCGCACTGACCTGCACGAGTCTCCTTCCTTTCTTCCATGTCGGGAAGGCCTCTGCTTGTCTTCCTCGTGGAAGCCTTAGGATTCAGGCCATCAGTAAAGGAGCTGGAAGAGCCCTTTCTCCTGTGAAGGATGTTATCCAGGTGTTGGGGTTTTGGGTACCAGGATGAGAGCTAACGTTTCAGATGTTCCTTCCGACCTCCCCGGCCCCTCCCTGCCACGAACTAGCATAGCCTGTATTTGAAAAGGCTTGTACGTTCAGACATTGATTGGTGGTCAACTATGTACCAGGTGCTTTGCTAGGTGCTGGGGACACAGTGGTGAACAAAGCCATCCTAGGATTCCCAGGCCCTCGTGGAGCTCACGGCCACTGGTGGAGATAGACATTAATCAAATCATCATCAAATACAAAACTGTAATTGCAACAGGTACTAAGACTACAGTCCGTAGGAGCGGCGTTTGACCAGTGGGCGAGACTTCGCTATAGAGGTGGTGCTGGAGCTAAAACTAGAAGGACAGACAGATGTAAGTTAGGCAAAGAGAGGGGGAAAGAACAGTCTAGGCAAAGGGACTAGCATGTGCAAAAGCCCTGTGGTGTGAAGGATCGTGGTGAACAGGAGGGGCTGAGGTATAATCCACATAGTTAGCGCCCAAAGGTTGAAGGGAAAGGTCAGATTCAAGGGTAAGGTTACAGAAGAAGGAAACAGACTCCCCCCTCCGCCCCCCGGCAACCAGAATGCCTATATTGTGGAGGTTTTCTTGATCTAAGAGCAAAGGAAAATGTTGGAGCTAATTAAGTCCTGTTCTGTCTTGTCCCATATTTGGGTTAAATGGTAACTTCCTTCCACTCACTGGCCTTAGCATCTGTGAAAACCTGCACACTTGATACTTGCCATTCATTCACTCAAAGATTTCTAAAAATGGATTTATTGATCTGTCTGGCATCGTGCTAAGCACTAGAAATAATAACGGTGAGCAGGACAGACAGGGCTCACGTGTTTACTCCCGTTCCAGTGGAGGAGACAAGGGAAGTCAGTAAGTGATTCCAACCGAGTGTAATTAGCACTCCGGGAGGGAAATTAGAGGGTGCTATGGATTTGCATTTTCCCCTAGTGCGTTTCTCTCTGACCTTTCAAAATCTACACATCTTCGGCCCTGCTTGCTGCTAGTTATGCCCTTGCTCTGCTCTCTCCTGCGGCCACTGCTTTTATTGTCCATTAAATTAATAGGCGGAAGATGCTAAATGAATCTTTCCAGATCTGCTCAGTGAACTGGCAGTGTTTTGCCAAACGTATCTCTCAGTGTCTAATCTTGGCTGACCCAGTTTCTCTGCCTCAGATGAGCAAAGACAGTGCTCAATCAGCTGTGTCATCTAGGTCATTAAAAAGCAGGCACCGTGGGGGTCCCTCTCTGCCTGTGCCTGCCTTCCTGTAGGTGCAGAGTTCCTGGCACAGCCTTCCGGTGGCATTGGGTGACCCATGTACAGGCAGCCTGGGGTCAGCCTTCTGGGTCCCAGGGGTGAGAGTAGGCACAGCATCAGGAGGTGGGCCCTGTGTTTTGCAGGTGACCACTGCAGAGCATGCTGTCCACCTCCCACCCGCCACCTGGCCTCTGGTTATTGGAAACCAGTGGGTGGAAGTGACAGTTTCTAGGCCCTTCTTTCCCCCTCCCTGTACTGACAGCTCGAATCCAGAATAAAACAAAAACAAAACACAAAAACAGCGTTGTCATGATTAGAAAATCAAAACAATAACTGTGCACATGATCCTCCCAGATTAAGTCTGTCAAGAGCATGGGTTCTGGAATTCCAGCTCTGCCTTCTGGCTGTGTGATGTTGAGCTAGACCCTCAGGCTCTCTGAACCTGTAAAATGAGGTCATAGAGTTTCCTCATGAAATGGCCTGTAGATAAGTAGTTTAGCACAGTGCCTGAGGATGTTGTAACCATTCTGGTGATGACACCCATTGTCATGTCATTTCCAAACTTCAGCTCCTGTTTCTGGAGTGGGGGATAGAAGGCATGTTAGCCGATTTTCGGTTAAGTCTTCCCATCCAATCCCACATTGACTTGTAGTAACGCCTCCGAGAGCAAATGTAGGTCATGAGCTTCTTCCCCTGTCCCCCCCATGCTGCATTCGACCTGGGACTGTCTCTAGCCTCTCCTGCAAGTAATGACCAATTCTTTTCTTTCTTCCTCCCCTCCCATCTTCTCGTCCTCGTGTAGGTGAAAATCGCATTGAGGTTCTGGCTGAAGTGTGGGACCACTTCTTCACTGAGACTCTCCCCACCCTGCAGGCAATATTTTATCCGGTTCAGGTCAGTCTCCCTGAGGAACGACCTCCTGCCGGCCTCGGCACTCTGTCTCCTTCCTTGGCCTTTGGCCAGCTGGGGCCGCCTGGTGAAGGGGGAGAGGCAGGACATTGGGCGCCTGAGTTGGCTGAGGACCTTGGCACTCTTTGGAGGGCTCTCTGGTCTATGTTTAGCATCTAACCTCGGGCCCAGAGGGAGTGCCTGCATAACTAGCAATTTGTAGGCTCTCGTCGCCCTCTTGGTTTTGGGTATTCCTGTATATTCTTGGCGTGGTTTGTTTCTCCCCTTTTCAGAAGTAGAGAAGATGGGGCAGGGAGACTTCTTTCTTTCCTCTTTCTTTTCTTCCCCCTCCCTTTCTTGGAAGTCCAGTTTTAAAGCAAGATTCCTGGTGTCCCACATTGTGGGAAGGGGATCTTGTCTCTTGCCTTCCGTGAGGGATGCCTGAAGACAAGTAGCCACGTGAGGGAGCGGAAAGAACGCCGGACTCCATCAGTCGTTGGGCTTGGGCAAACTCATTTCACTTCTCTGAAATGTTTCATCTGCAAAATGTGGGCTTTCGAGCAAAAAATGAGCAGCATCTCCTTAGTATTCTTATTCTGTGATCGGAGCTTATTCTAACACCTGAGTCGCTTTCCTTCTACCTTCCTGCAGAGGCTAATAGCAGGACTGGTCGCTGCCGGGTCAGAATGGACACCCCTGCAGGCAGGTTGACCCGTAGATCTTCCTCTCCAAGATTCACATGTCTGTCCTCCATTTACCCCACCCCCGCTCCGCCCACTGGGGTGAAGGCGCATATCTAATGGGGCTTTGTTGAAGTGCGGGTGTGGGGCCCAGCAACAGCACAGCCCTTAGCGATGCTGTGTACCAGACACAAGGGCCCACAGGCTTTGTTTGCCCTGAATGGTGTTGCATGGGAACTTGGAATTCCTTTAAATCTATATCAATACCTAAAAATTGGGAGGTTACGCCTACTGAGTCCATTTCCCATTTCTGGCCTGCCCCTCACAGTTCCAGTAGAAGCTCTGGCCTGCAGCTCACTGCTGTCTCCATCCCATCCTCAGCCCCATCCTCTACCCCCGTGAGAGGGTTTGCAGCATTTCTGGAGTCGGTTCAGCTCCCATACCCACAAACGTCTCCCCTCCCTGTAATGGTCACTCCTAGGTCAGCGCTAGGTCCTAAGAATACAGACATGGGAAGTAGAGTTGCCAGAGTTAGCAAATAAAATTATAGAATGCTGGCTTAAATTTGAATTTCAGATAAACAATGAGTAATGCAATATCTAGAACATACTTCTACTAAAAAATTATTCACATTCAACTGGACATTCTCTGTTTCATTTGGCAACCCTGCTGGAGGGGCTGTGTAGACCTGGGTCTCTGTCTTAGAACCCCGTGGGCATGGAATTCGAAGGTGGGGGTGTCCAGATGGGTTAGAATGGGGGAGTGGCATCTGAGTGGGCATGGCCCTGGTACAGTCATCGGATGGCCAAGAAGGGCCCTCACTGGCATATATCCAGGCAGGAAACCAGTTGTTGTTTTTTTTTGTTTTTTTTTTTTAAGATTTATTTATTTATTTATTTGACAGAGAGAGACACAGCGAGAGAGGGAACACAAGCAGGGGGAGTGGGAGAGGAAGAAGCAGGCTTCCGGTTGAGCAGGGAGCCCGATGGCGGGGCTTGATCCCAGGACCCTGGGATCATGACCTGAGCGGAAGGCAGGCGCTTAACGACTGAGCCACCAGGATGCCCCAGGCAGGAAACCAGTTGTGCCGGTCTGAGGATGTTACCCATTCTGCCTCCCTTGAAGAATCGCAGGCTCCGGTGATAGTTGATATTGCCCCTATCCACCCCCTTCCCCACACACAGTTTCCCAAGTGCTGCTGCTGATCCAGACACCCCACTTTGAGAAGCCCGGAGTTAGGGGTTCTCCCTACCGGTAGTAACACGCCAAGGTGTCTGTCAGTTCAGCTCGATCCACCTCAGAGCCCCCTGTCTGTATAGGTGCCTGTGTGAGCCCTGCTTCCTCGGTGGACAGATGTATTTTTGAGTACCTACTGTGTTCAAGGGGGTGGAAGCTTGCCTTCACTTTCCTACCTTAGAAGGCGAAAGGGACCTGGGAGATGAAATGAGGGCATAGCTAGCCACGAGGTCGGAGGTCAGTGCAGACTATAGCCTCTTGGAAAAGGCGAAGTTTGCGGAGGGGGGCCCGCTGCCATTGGAGGCGGGCGGGGAAGGCAGTCAAGGAAGGGGGTGGTTGACCCAAGCCTGGAAGGCACCGGAGGCGGGTTGTGTGCATCTCTGGGGACTGAGAGGGGGGAGCGAGAGGGGGATGAGGAGGTGACAAAACCACTCTTGCCTGCATTTCTGTGAAACCCTAAGGAACTCTAAGAAATGTAAAACTTCCTTAAGCCTTGGCAGACGTGAGGGATGAAAAGTGACATCCGGTTTGGCAGGTACCTTCATGATCTCTTTGGCTCCACCAAGAGCAGCCCATTTCTGGGGTGTGCCGTGTGTATACGCGCAAAGAGAGTCTGGGAGAGAGGCCCTCCTTCCTCCTTCTGCTTTGGGAAACTGGGAGCCCTAAAATCAAATAGTTAAGGTTTGAGACCCAGCTCTGCCCTGGGGATAGAACCGCAACTCTGGGCTCTAGGGGTTTCCTCTCTGAAGTAGGTTTAATAATAGTACCTGTCTCGAAGGGTGGGGATTAATCGTGTTAGTTCCATCGAAAATATTGAGAGTCATGCCTAGCACCTGAGGCTCAGTAAGCGTCAGCTCTCAGGATTATGAGTTCCTTTCGTCCTCTGCCCACACCGTGCACGGTCAGACTTGTCCCTGTGTTTTCCTTCTTGGCCTGGCGCGTGCTAGGTGCTCACATACTGAACGGAGTTGAGGAAGCAGCCTTGAAAGTGGGGGTGGGGGGCGGGGGTCGGGGTGCTGATCTTTTCTCTCATTTCCCCCCGTCTTCCTCTCTCTTCTTTCTTCCTGACCACCCCCGCCGCCGCCGCCCTCATGACAGCATGGCCCGCACGGATGTGTCTTGTATTATCTCGGGTCACTTAGGCAGGTTGAGTCACACCTTATCTTAAACGAAGCTTTCACTGGGAAGGAGTGGGGCCAAGTCTTCGACTCTTTGGCAGCCCCCCCCCCCCGCGTTCTGTAGACCCCTCGTCCTGTCCCATCCCGGTGTTCTGTCCACACTGGTTGTCCTGGATTCCGTGTGGCTGGCAGCATACCCAGCGGGCTCTCACCTCCCGGCCCTGCGCCCTCTCTCCTCCCCAGGGCCAGGAGCTGACCATCCGCCAGATCTCCCTGCTGGGCTTCCGCGACCTGGTCCTGCTGAAGGTGAAGCTGGGTGATTTGCTGCTGCTGGCCCAGTCCCAGCCACCCTCATCCATTGTCCAGATGTTGCTCATCCTGCAGGTGGGTGAGGCCCCACTGGAGCTGTGGCCACCAGGCCGGGGGAGGAAGAGACCCTGTTTGACGGGGGAGGGACCAAACGACCTGAGCACCTTAGCTCAGCTAGTACGCTTCAGTGTCGTCGTTCCTGTACCTTCGCACGTTTGGTCATTTTCTATACCTCCACTGAGCCCCTGCGAGGCCCCTGGCACTGTGTTGCCTGCTGGGATCCCAGTGCGGGGGGCGGGGGCGCGAGAGAAGCACAGTCCTGTTCTTCAGGGAGCGGACACCCTCCCTCCTCGCCCGGGAGCCTCAGGTAGCACGTGACGGCAAGAGCCCCCCGCAGGTGAGCTCGAGCCAGACCAGGAGCTCACTGGAAGGTTCCCCGGGGCAGGAGGGCATCCTAAGAGACTACAGCCAGAAGCGAGACCATGTCAGGCCCCAAAGCAGCCAGCCTGTCACCACTTGCTGGTCTTTCCTTGTCTCTCTCTGACGCCGCCTCTGCCGGCTGGCCCTGCCCGCTGTCTCTTGCTTGGACTGGGTGTCCTGTCTTTTCCCCCTCCCTCTGCAGACTTGTGCTCCAGCACTGTGGTCCGCACCCGACCAAACGTGGCATCATGCACACGGCTTACGCGTTTCCACCAAGTGGTGACCCAGACGGTCGCCTCTTCATCCCCATCCCAAATCAACAGTAGGAAGACAAGCTAACACTACCGGTTCCTGGCTACGTACCTGGTGCAGGCCGAGGACTTTATGTGGTGTTTTCTGAATCAGATCATCCAAATGACCACTTCGTGAGGTAGATAGTGGTGTTATTCCCATTTTCCAGGCGAAGAAATGGAAACCCAGGAAGTGTGTGCTTGTCCAAGGTCCCCCAGCAAGTGGTAGTAGGATTCCGAGCTCTGTGCACTCAGGGGAAAGAGTTGGATTGGTCTAGCCCCGGCTACATGACTCTCCTTTGCCAGTCAGCCATGACCTTGGGTCAGGTACCATAAGCACGGCCTCGGGGAGCCCAATCCTCGGCGCCATGCCTTGGGTTGGAGGCCCACTCCTGTTCATTCTGCATGTCCTCCCTTCTGACCCCTTCCTAGCCCCAACCCCAAGTCTTCTGCCCCGGAACCCCCTTCCCCAGGCTCCTTTGTGTTTCCTTAAGCCAAACCCCCTCCCTTCCACCGCCCCCAGCCAGCCCTGTCTTCGTGGGGTGGAGTTGACAAGGGGCCAAGTCAGCTTGCGTACAAGGGAGCCCCCACCTTGCCCAGCCATCCCCGGCTTGTGTGACGGGCCCTTCTTGCTCCCCTCCCCCACCATCTTTTCCTCCAGTCCCCCCAAACTACAGCACAGTGGGGAGTTTTTACTTTTTAAGTGAGGGTGATGTAACCTCTCTTCCGCTCTTGAGAATTTGGTGGGACACTCTGTTGGGCTGAGCACAACTCTGCCCCCCTGCAGCCCCTCAACACAGAGCAAGGCTTCAAGTCCTTTCCAGAGAGAAATTGGATTCCCTAGGAATCTGCTGGTCTTCTAGAGAACCTGGGTCACTTTTGGTCTCCTTTTTAAAGGTTTTTGACCGTTGTCATTTGTTAGTTGGTGTTTGCTCGGGCTTAGCCCCGAGGACGCCTGTCATGTTGGGCTTTGGAACTAACCCTTCATCTTGGGGCAAAATGTATGTCTAGCTCCACAGTGACTCACTCTCTCTTCTGCTGTTCTGGATTTCTCCATATTCTGTCCCCTTTTCTTTTCTAGCCTCCTTAACAAGTGGCAGTAAGATGGGCTCAGAGCCAAAACAGCCTGCATTCTAGTCCTGGGTTACATGAGCCCTCTGGGTCTTAACTTTCTTGTCTGTAGAAGGGGGATGATGAGGGCCCCTGGCTCCTCGGGCTGTGGAGAGGCCTCTGTGCTTTGGCCCATGTAAAGTGCTTATGCAAAGCGCTTGCATGCCAAGTATGAAGCAGCCACTCTGAGGGTGGGCTGCATGGTTGGGACCCGTCAGACCTCAACCCTGGAGCTGGTGTGAGGACAGTCCCGCCTGCCCAGAGTGGCTGGGGCCTGACGGGAGAAGCCACCGCAGGGCACCGTTCTGATCACTGTGACCTGTGGCAAGTGACTGGGGCTTCGGGCCTCAGATTCCTTCATTCCAGCCACGAGGATGCTGTCTGCTGGTATCATGGCTCTGACTGTAGTAGGAGGGCCGGCGGGATTTGCTGGCTGAGTGCCAAGCTGGCCCTGGCCTCTTTTGACTGACCTTTGTCTCTCTTGGATGTTTATTTCCAGAGTGTTCACGAGCCCACAGGCCCCAGTGAGGGTTATTTGCAGCTGGAGGAACTGGTGAAGCAAGTGGTGTCTCCTTTCCTGGGCATCAGTGAGGACCGCGGTGTCTCGGGTCCCACGTCCATGTCGGGTAAGGGGCGAGGCTCTCAGGCTGCGGGGGCCTCGCGGAGAATGCTGCCCGCGATGTTTTCCTGAGCCTGGATTGTGTAGCAAGCTCTTTGCTTCTCATGTGGGTCCCAGCTAATCTGTGCATGTTAATCACCTGTGCTTCCTACTGGCCTGCATCAGGGTAACCTCCCCGCTTGACGAGTCCTCCCCAGGGACTGATACTGCACCTCTGTGGTCTTGCTTGTCTGATCTGCATCTTTGACTAGTGGCTTTGATCTTTTCCGTGTGCCTGCAGTGTTCATTTTCCCGTATCTGATAGCCAGAAACTGGGCCAGATTGCAATGCCCCACACACACTTGAGTGGAAAAACCACCTGTGGTAGATTTTCCCTTGAAAGCAGCTTGAAATGGGAAGACAACTCATTTGGTGTATGGCCAGATGAAATGGAGCTGCTGTTCTTCCCCCACCCCCCCACTCACCCCTCCTTGTCCGTAGGTACCGCCAGGGCCTGCATGCCAGGGAAAGGCGAGCGCTCCTGGACTGGGGACAAGTCCGGTTTGTGGCTCTAAAACTAGCATTAGTGTCAGGCTCTGCACTTGGCACCCTGGAGAATCTAGAGGTGAATTGCATCTGTTCCTTCTCTCCGTGAAACCGCAGTCCAGATGGGGAAATAGCCATATAATAGGCTTATCATAAGAGACATTCCTCAGTTACCTTTTGAAATGAGAGCCCCCCAAATGCAGGAATTTCCCTATCTCAGCAACCTTAATGGGACGCATATAGTATATGGTTCGTATATGGTAGGTACTCCAAAACATATCTGTAGATGGATGACAGCCAGTTGTACCCCAAGGCAGGTACAGAGGTGCAGAGGCAGACAGGGATTCCCTGAAGTTGGAATCTTTTGCCCTGCTCTCCTTGCTTCAATGGAATTGTAGCTGAGCGTCAGAGAAAAGGGCAGAAGAACAGTGTCCTGTGAGGTTCTGCCCGTTGCTGGGCCTCACTTCCGCAGAAGCAGGGCAGGCTGGCAGGTTTCCTGGCCGCTTCATGTGTCTCTGGAGACACCAGCGTAGCCACGGCTGCCACACATCTGGGGTGCTGGCCCCAGCCCGCCTGCCGAGTCCTCCCCCCACCCCCGCCCTTCCTTCCTCCCTTGCTCACTCACTCACACCACCCAGGAGCTGGTGCAAGCCAGAGTGAGTAACAATGCCTCCTAAAGGAAAACCGTCAGCCCTGAATGGGGTGCCATGTTGCTCTGCCCTCCCTGGAGCCCGCCTTCTGGCTTTGGCCCAGCCCACGGGCTCACCGGCTCCCCGAGTTTGGGCGGGACGATCCAGGCAGATGTCAGGACACAAGCAGGTGAGCTGGGCCGTGGCAGGGACCTGGCCATCGGCTGAGCCTAGAGCCGGGAGTAAGGATAGATTTGAAAGTTTGTTCAGGGAGTACTTACTCTAAGAGGGGATGCCTTTGGCTTTCCAGTTAAGCTCAGAATAATGCATACTTTTGGCAAATTTATAAAGTAAAGGCCTGAGGTTTTCTTATACCAAGGACAAGCCTCGCCTCCAGGCTGTTGTCTCAGGAGGGGCAGAGGGGGAAGAAAATGACTCTTTTTGATAGTTTTATTATTATTATTATTATTTTAGCAAATGTGTCCTGAGGCCCTCCCCCTTGTGAGGTGAGGTGCTGCAGGTATACCCATGACTAAAATGGACCCATCTCTGCCCTGTGATGCACACGGGCCGGTGAGGAAGTCACAAACGAGATCACGATGACTCATTAGTGTGCAAGGACTCTGATCAGGGGAAGCGCATCAGCCATGGGGCCCACGGCAGGGGTCCTTCACCCAGACTGGGAAATCAGGGGAGGCTCCCCAAAGGAAGTGATACCTGAGATGCGTCTTGTAGGATGAATTTGAATTAGTCTGCCTTCCCTGTTTGCTCAGCTATCCCAAGCAAAGGGAAGGATCTTTGGGAGGGCTCTGGGGTAGGAGGAGGGGAACGGGAGGTTGGAGCCTTTGAGGAACTGAAAGACTTTCAGAGTTACAAAGTGGTTGGTGGCAAGGGAAGGCACAGGCCACAGACTACATCTTGGGCAGGCACTCTGCCGGGCGAGCCGGATACCCTACCACAGAGTGGGCACCACTGTACCCATTTTACAGGTGAGGCAAATGAGGATTAGGGTCACTCAGCTATTGGAGCTGGGATTTCAAAGCCCCATGTCGGTCGCACTTTACCGGCTGTCCTGCATGCTCCACCCTCACCCCAGCCTCCCCCTGTCAGTTTCCAGAAGGTGATTGTGATTTTACTGAGGGGCAGCTGAGGAGGTGTCCTTCCCCGTCATTCCTTAGCCCAACAGGGTTCCGGGGCCAGACATTTCACCTCAAACCTCTGCATACTAAACAGCTAAAATGGTCACAATGGAGCCCTTCCCTGTTGAGGACACCCCTTTGCCAGATAAAGTGAGGACTCTCTGGGCATTAGTCTTCCCCTCAGTAGAATGGAGTCCATAACGTCTGCCCTGCCTGGAGGAAAGGAGTGGAGACCACCAACCGACGTGTAAAGCCACAGGAGGGCTTTGCCATGATCCGCTCAGGGCCCATCCAGGGCTGGGAGTGGCCACGGGCAGTGGGAGGGCTCATCTCAGAGGCCCGCACTTATGCCTGTCATGTTGCAGGTGCTGCCCAGACGCTTGTCTTCCTTGTACGGCCTGCTGAGGGGAGGGTGCCGTGCTGACCTCGGTCTCAGACTCAGGAAGAAACCTCCTGGGGGAGGTAACCAGAGCCAGAGGAGTGGTTTCTCCGGGGGAGGGGGGGGCCCACACCTGCCCAGGGGTGTCTTGACCCCACGGGGATTCTTGGGAAGTCTCTCTTCTTCTGAGCCAGGCCGATGGGCTTGAGAAGTGAGCCTCACCCACTGATATGCAAGACTTGGGAGAGAGAGAGAGGAGTCTGAGGCTCGTGTTGGAGGACGGTGTATGATGTATGGCTCTCTTCCAAAGCAGTCACTTTCCTAGGGCAGTGGGGATGTGGAGGTGAGGAGGAAGAGTTAAAACTTAAAAAAAAAAAAGATTGGTCAGAGGCTGGACCTACATCCTACCTTTCTAGTTCCCAAAGCTTCCAGACTGCTGCCCTGGCTGCTTCCAGGGCCCTTGGAGCAAACATGCAGACCACTCAGCATGCTGTGTTCTCCCACACAAAAGCGCTGGCCTCCCACAGATCTTCCTCCATTGTGTTTCCAGGGGGAGGGCCCTTTTCCTCAAGATACTGTAACTTCTCCTCGTGACAAGTAGGCTTTCATGGGCTTTCAGGTGCCCAGGCCTGGAGAGAGACGCCCACAATGGGCTTGGTGTGCAGAGGTCACAATACCCACATTATGGCAGCCACTCCTGCAAGCCTGGGAGATCAAAGGCCTGGGAACCGAGTCCCCCACAAAGGGGCTGAGGACCGCCTCATCCAGGCTCTGCTTCTCTGGGGGTTTGAAAGGAGCTGCCATTGCTGGCTCGGGTGCTGGGGGATGAATGCCAGAGCTCAGTGGGGCACCTGGGGAGTGAGGAAGGAATAAAGGCCCCCCTGGCCCCACCCTGTGTGAAAGGCAGAAGGAGGCGGTCTGGAGGTGGGTGCTGGCCGAGGTGGCAGGACCCGGCGCCTCTCCCAGCTCAAAGGGCACCACTGTAAGGAAAGGACCCATTTCAGCCCCCAGGGGGTGCCCACAGCTTAATCAATCTCTTTAAGGGAGAGTTCCTTCTCTGAGTGGCAGGGCCTGGCTTTCCCTGGTACAAATAAGAAGGAGGCGGGGAAGGTGGCGGGCAGCACCACTGTGGGTAGCTGTCTCAGCTCCCGGCCCAGTATGTGGCCTGACCCCACTGGGGACGCAGCTGACGTGCTTGTCTGAGGTTGACTCTGGAGTCTGGTGGGAGCTTATCGAGGAAACACTGTCTGCCCAGGGGACTCAACACAGCCCAGCGGCCCCTGTGGTCTCTGTTCTGTCCACACCCAGTCCTGGGAACCAGAACATTCCACCCAGAAGGCAGAAGAGTCCTAGGCCGCTCCTGTGAGTCATGAGCAGGGAAGAGCCATCAGGAGAGAGGCGGGGGCCGGCCGCAGAAGGAACAGGGCCTTGAAACCACAAGGGCCTGGCTTCAGCTGTGTGGCCTGGAGTAAGTTCCTTGATGTCTCTGAGCTGCAGAGGGCTAAGCACAGAGAAGGAAGAAGGGGCCCTGTCTGAGCGCAGGACCCAGGCAGAGTTGCTCCCTGCTGTGTTACGGGCCCCAGCTAGAGGGTGGCCTGGCCTCCTTGGAATCACTCCAGATGAAAAATTGTGCCTCTCCCTGGGAGCCCAGACCACATCCTGGCCCTTGCCGTGCTGGGTGGTCCTGCTTGATGATTTGTCAGTCTCCCCCGTAGACTGTCAGCTCGTTGGGGGCAGGGAACACGTGGGGCCCCTCGTTCCCCAGGCCCTAGCACAGTTCTCGGCTCTGAGGGAGCAAGTGAGTGAATGTCTGGGTTCCGTCCGTCAGTCGCTCTGGAGCAGGCCCCTCCGAAATGACTGCTCTTTAGGACTTCTCCTGGCTCCCCAGCGAGTTCCTGCCTTTACCTCTGCCCTGTCATTTGTTGACCTTGTCTTTTTTTAATTTCGTTATAGTTACCATACAGCGTTGTATTAGTTTCAGGTGTACAATAGAGTGATTCAGTAACTGTACTTGTTGACCTTGTTCTAATAGATCCTTGTGTGCAGGCTTCCCAGGGGGCACAAGCGGGGGCTCCACTGTCAGCCCTCGGCTTGAATCCTGCTTCCATCACTAACTGGCTACAAAGTTAGTTAGCATCTTGACTTCAGGTTCCTTTTCTGCAAAATGGTCAGAAGACGAGCATGGCGGTGAAGCACCTCCTTTTTTGATACAGTACCTCGCCCACAGTAGATGCTCAGCTAGTGATTGCTCCCAAGACCCTACCCCCCACCCCATACAGGCACACATGTACACGCACGTGCTCTGGGCTCGGGCCCCTGTGGCGGGTCCCGTGGC